AACAAGTGCATATGTCATTTCTACTGTACTTTTTTGCATCTCTGGGATATATAAGTGGTATTGCTGCATCAGTTGGGAGCTCAATTTGTTTTTTTGTGAAACGTCCATATTGTTTTCCAAAACTTCTAGACCAGTCAGCGTTCCCACCAGCAGTGAAGTGGAGTTCCTTTCTCCCAACATCCACACCAGCACCAGTTGTTTCTGGTTTTTTTGCATGTGTGCCAGTCTCTGTGGTGTGAGATATGTCATAGTTGTTTTGATGTGCATCTCCTTGATGATTAGTGAAGAGCAGTTTTTCATGTGTCTTTTGGCCATTTGGGTTTCTTGAGAAAGTTTCTGTTCATCTCATCACCACATTTTCTGATGAGATTGGAAGTTTTCTTCTTGTAGAGTTCAAACAGTGACTTGAATGTCCTTGATATTAACCCCTTATTGAAGAGGAACTTGGTGAATATCCTTTCCCATCCTGTACACTGTCTTTGTGTTCTGGACACTGTGTCTTTTGAGGTACAGAAACGTCTTTGTTTAAGATAGTCCCATTCGTTCATCTCTGTTTCCACTTGTTTGGTCAATGTCGTTTTGTCCCTGAAGATATCTTTTGCTTCAATGTCGTAGAGGATTTTGCCAACTTTTACTTCAATATACCACTGGTCTGCATGTCTCTTTTTCTTCCAATAACTTGCCGTCTTAATTCTTACTGTCTTAATTCTACCATGCTGTCTTAATTATTATGGCTTTGTAGTACAATTTGCTGTACTATGATGGGAACGTGATGTCCCACACCTCTTTTTTTCTCAAGAATTGCTTTAGCTATTTGTGCATGCTTGTTGTTCCTTATGAATTTCCAGAGTGTTTGATCAATGTCTTTGAAGACTGTCAAGGGTACCCTTGTAGGGATCACGTTGAATCTGAATAATGCTGTGGGGAGTATTGCCATTTTGACAATGTTAATTCTCTCAACCCAGGAACAGGGGATGCATTTTTATTTCCTCGTGTCGCTTTTATTTCTTGAAGTAGCATTTTGTGGTTTGCAGAGAGTATTTTTAAAGAGGTGGATTTGAGCCCTCGGTGTGGCTGCAGTGGTGAAGTGTGAGTGCAGTTGTAGGGTCTTTGGCAGGGCCGAATCTTGGCCCATCTGCTTCCAGAGGGTACCTGCAAGCTTTCAGACACAGAGATTGGCATTTCCATTAAGTTTAGCTGCTTGGATGGTGTCTCCTCAGAGATTTAGTCAGGAATCAGAAGAGCAGGGTCAGAGGGTTATTTTATATTGGATCTTAGTTATTGCTAGATTTGGGAATTGTCCAGTGCAGAGAGGGGGACGGAGTCAGATAATATGAAGGAAATAGAAGTTTATTGGATTGCAGTCCTGGACAGACTCTATGAACGTTGGGTGAGGCTGGCGTAGAGCTGCACCCTGGGAGAGACTAAGGGGGTTTTTAAGTTGTCCTTGGTATGAAAAGGGGAGACGGGAACAAAGACCAGTGAAACCAGTGTGCTTGGTCTGGCCTGTTATCTGCAGGTGATGGATGTGAGGAAGCAGGGAATGCACTCTGGTGACTTCCTGTCATTGGGTGGGACATAAGTCCTTTCTTCCTCGCTGGGGACAGGATAATCTCTGATTCTGGGAATGTTGCTGTCTCATCAGCTAGTTACTTGCCATTTTGTTCTGAGGAAACCTGACAGTTATCTAATAAATTTCAACTCTAGAATTGTATCAGCAGTTATGACTTTTGTCTACATTAAAACAAAAGAAAATAATAGCAACTTGTCCAGGTATAGAGTCCTACAAAGAAACTTTCATAAAGCTGAGTTATGTGATGCATTATGAAAGGATCGCCATCCATTTCACCTGTTGACTGTAAGAAATAACCTTTTGCATTTCTCTGTACAAGCTCATGAAACCTGGTGATAGTTTTCTAATTCTAATTTTATTTCACGACTGAGTTCAGTAAACTTGATAAGAATTGAAATGTTTGTTTCCCATATTTATTTTTTTCCGGATTTAGGTAGCATTACTCCTCTTATTTAATAGCAGTGAATTAAATGATCAAGTACTCACCCAGGGAGATCCCTCCAAGGGCCAGATTAGATTGAATTTAACTCCCGTACTTGCAAGCTCTATGATCTTTAACTGGTTGTATAATCTCTTTCTCTCAGTTTTCCCAGTGATGAATAGTATTAAGTAATTTGTACCAACAATTAGAGATTCTGTAGTTGTAGTTATAATATGCATCCTAAAACCATGATTGATCTTGGACTGCATATCTCAGGTGTTAGTAGTTCTGATGAGGAATACGAAATCAGATGCATAGCCATCCCTGAACTGCAGGTTGCTATGATGAGGGTAGTATTGCTGAGCAGGGAGGGCATAGTGAAGAAGTTTGTGTGTTTTAGCGGAGGTCTGATTCTGTTAAAGTTGCTTGGAAATTTCTATGAGCTTGAGGTATTGTGTGCACCCTTAAAAATTCTAGGTAACATGAAGGCTGCATTACTTCCTAGGTTCCTATAAATTGGATTGACCCAAGTTTGCCGTATTAACTAGTGAACACTGAGACAAGGATAGGTTTGGTGGGGTTGATGTTGGTTGGCCCACAGGTAGCTTATGTATCCTTGGGAGGAGAGAGATGGCCGCTTGTTCCTAATCCACCTCTGCCATTCCTTAGACCTAGGCTGGGAAGACTACCACAAATAAAGTCTGTGATGAACCTCCCCCCGCCTCCCTGGTCATACCAGCCACCACCAGGAGGCCAACAAGCCACACCTGATGTCCGCTTGCTCTTCTTGGCACAGAAGATCCTCACAAATCTTGGCCAAGATCCTCTATTTCTCGGGAATCCATGGACTCAGGTTGGGACAAGGAATAGCTCTTTGCAGGAAAGGAAAGTCAGTCCTAGATCTTACCCGGGTTTATGGGGTTCTTGTCTCAGATCGCAGAAAATAATTTTGAGAGGCAGATGAGCAGTGAAGTAGAGCAGATTTTATTTGGAGGTATTTTGAAAGTGAGGAGGGAGACAAAGTGAGAGACAGGGAGAGAGAGAGAGAGAGAGAGAGAGAGAGAGAGAGAGAGAGAGAGAGAGAGAGAGATGTGCTGAAGGAGAACATGCGCTTCTCCAAGGGTGAAGATAGCCCCTGCATACAACCAGGCATTACATAGGAAAGGACATAGCTCAAGAAGGGAGATGTAGGCAACATATGTGCTTGGGTGCCACATGTGCTCGGCCATGTGGGCACAAGCGGCATGTGGTCTCAGACAGCATATGCGTGACCTCCCTTTGTTCAAGGTGTCTTTTATAGGGTTTCTCCAAGCCACCCCCACTGGAGCTTTCTACCTAGATAAAGTCCCATTGCTATGGTTGTTGCTAAGAGGGTAGAGTTGGGAGTGGTCTTCTGTGAAACTCCTTTTTCTTGACCTTTGTTCCTGCTGGAGCTTCTCTCAGAGGGTGGCCCAGCCTTCTCTGGTCTGGGCTAGCCTAGGTTAATCAGATTAAAGAAGGAATTGAGGGTTCTCCAGTAATTCCCTTAAGGGTCTCTCTGTAGGGATGGGTCTAGTCTCCTCAGCATCTGCTGCTGGAGAAGGTTTGATCAGGTCTTGTATTCTGTTTGCACAAGGTGGGCTAGACTTGGGGATGGTGGCTTAATTATTTCCCATGATGCTGGGGTCCCTTCCTTAATCTACCTGCCTGCATCAGGATGGAGAAAGATAGGTTTCTTAATATTTGCAGTTTGTAGAAAGAAATGCTAGATAGTGAAGAGCATCTTGTCAACTATAGCATGCTCCATGTAGAGGCAACCAAACCCTTTTCTACATTACTGATTTTGATTTATATCCAAGCTTCAACCACGTGTAATATTTTTCCATTCAAAATACCTTTTATTCCTGTGATGATATCTGCCATTTTACAGAGATTTAAGAAACCCTGGTGCCATGGCCTTCACACAGATCTGTAGGTTGACAGGGAAACTTGTGGAAACAGGTGTGGGGAGCTGAGGTGATTGTTTATCAAGGACAATCCTCTTGTTTTAACACATCAAGGCTATTTCCAATGGCTTTCAGACCAAGGAGAAATGGAATACAGAAGACTGTTGTGGTGCTGGTGAGCCACACCGGTGGCTCATGTCAAGTGGGGAGGAGAAAGATGGTCACTTTCTCCCCATCAGCCTCTCACCTGGAACCCAGGGTTACTTGGTCCTTGTTTTGCTAATTCTGCCAAGAGATTGGAAAATCTTTAGAACTTTTAGAAATAGTTTATGATTATTCTAAGCATACATAGATTAACAAAAGTGTTATGGTTGGTGAGGAGGAGGGTAGTGGGGAGGTGGAGAATAGAATAGAATTAGACTATTATGATTTTTCCCTAGATAGGTCCACGTGAACGATTCAGAAAGGGTAGAAATGAGAGGAAGGACATCAGTTCCCAGCCAGAGTTTTTTTCTGGTACTATGAAACCCATTTCTATCACGACATAGCCAGTAGTCTCCTAGACAGTGGCCTTCTCCTCCAATGGGGACTGGGATGATTTCCTGTTCCCCTCCATACTCTTGAAGATGTGATCAATCTGATGTTCAGGTTCTTCTCGGAGGATACACGAACCTTGCAGCTAGGGGAAGATCAAATGGCGTATGTTGGTTGGTTTTCCTTGGGAAGGGCAGTCCCTTCCTGGCCCCTAACAGCATACATGGGCTTCAAGCATGTTTTAAGTGGAAGTGGCCCAGAATATGTCATGGGAAAGTTGGGGGTTGAGAGAAATTGGAAGGAGGGAAACCAAGAGTTAAGGATGGGACCCTGAGGGCAGCAGTCAGGCTCACCTAGGATGTGGTAAACAGTAAAAAGGCTGATTCAGAACATCAGTATCTTCTGTAATTTGCAGCACTGCCACATTCTCCTTCACCTCCTCCTCCACCTCCTCTTCCTCCTCCTTCACCACTTCTTCCACTTCCTTAACCTCCTCCTTCTTCACCTCCTCCTCCTCCTCCTTTTTCTCCTTTTCATTGTCTTCCTTCTACTCCTCCTGTTCTTCCACCTCTTGCTTCTGCACTTGCTCCTGCTCAGCTTCATTTCCTGTTGGAAGATCCCCAGGGTCACAGACAGCCAACGACATTGGAGCCCACTAGGGCAGATCTGGCTTGGTTCTGCCTCCCTGTGAAGCCCTACCTTCATCCCGCCCCCACCTCACCCAAAGCTAGCTTCTCTCTTCTCTGGTCCTTGTCACATACTCTTTGCATGAATGGTGACAACTTTCAGCTGAGCCTTCAGATGCAGTTTGTCCTCTTTGGTCTTTTTCAGAAGATTCTAAAGGGGAGGGAAGAAAGTGGAGAGGGAGTGAGGAAGGAAGCCTGCTTCAGGTCTTCCTGCTCAACTGTACAGGGCCCCTGTCTCATTTGAAGTTCTTTCACTTCACTGTCATGTTTCATTTGCTGTTGTTCTAACTGCTCCAGGAGCCAGTGCTCCTTTTGCATGGCTAACTCTTGGCATGCAGCCAGTTGTTAATGAAGATTAGTTGCGTACTCCTGCAGCTCTTGAATGTAGGAGTCTTGCTGAATGAACAGAGTCCAGAGCTCTCGGTTGCTCTTCCTCACCTGCGGGCATGAAGGTGGCATTAAGGACAGGCAGCAGGGGCAGCAGGTGACTGTCACACACAGACTCTCAGGCCCAAGGAAACAGCATTTGGGACAGTCTGTTTCCCGCACAGGTCCTGATGGTCTTACTCTCAGGACCTAAGAGATCCCCCCCTACACCCCCACACACACCACTACCACCACCACTCAGGCCCTTGCCTCTTTCTCTCCTCCAACCTCCTAGGAACCTTCCTCGCTGGCTTTAAGCTCCTGAATCTTGCTGGTGTGTGGTGAAGTTTCGACTTCAGACCAGCGCTCAATCCCTGCTTTGTGCCCCCCCTCCCTCACCCTGCACCCCTCATTGTTTGGACTCTTTCTTGCTACATACTTCAGCCTTGATTGTGACTTCCAGGCCAGGCCCTAATTGACATAGAGACCTTCCTATCGCCCTTCCCCCTTAACCTCATGGGAACTGCCTTGGTTCTCTCTTGCCCTGGCTCCCAGCAACACCTCCCGCTTTCAGCCAGTAGCCTCGCCCCAGCTGGACCAGAGCTTACCTTTTCGATTATTTCTGCAAATATTTGCTGTAGAAGTTCCATTTTTTCTACCGCCGGGTCTTTGACGTGTTCTCCACTCTGGAAGACTCAAGCGGGTCGGTCAGTGAGCGCCATCCCAGCCCCTTACCTGAAGGCCTCCTGCCCACCTCTCCCCCATCATCCAAGAAGGGCTCTGTGCCATCTATCCAATTCCCTGCTTCCTGATGGAGGGGGAAGAAGGAAACAAAAATTCAGAACTTCCCAGTCAATCAAGCAGTAGAGAAAACTTCAAGAATGGGCCGGGGGGTGGGGGTGGGGACAAGAGACACCCTCACAGTGGGAATTCAGCCAGCAGCTCATGAAGATCTGGCAGAGGGCATGGCGCCTGCGGTGCCCCTTTTCCCATGGGACAGTATTCTCCATTGCAACAGTAAAGGTCACACTTCACCCCAGTCCTCAATGTAAAGGGAGCAAAGAGAGCAGAGCGGACAAGCGCCAGGGAAAAGAGAAAGTCAAACCGAGACCAGGTGTCCAGGGGTGGCAGGTCCCCTTGCAGTGTTGCAGGAGAGAACAAAGGGGCCATTCCAAAGAGGCCCATGAGCAGCCAGCCATGTCCTTGCCTGCAGGGTCATGGCTTATGGCAGAGTGAGACACAAGGACCCTTGTTTCCTGAGGCTGCCCATGTGCTGATATCTGAGGGATGCTACTTACCACCCTCTTGTCCCCCCACCTCCATGTCCTAACTCAATCTCAAAGGCCAATCTTGCCCATTCAAGTGAAATGCTCAATCCCAGGGCTTATGCAGTATGCTCCATGTCAGGCCAAGCAGAGCCCGGGCATGTGGGGCAGATGGACCAGAGTTTCTGTGGGTACCCCCCTCATTCCAAATTCCTAAACATCCCTGCAGCACCCCTTGAGCACCTATCTACTTGGGATGTCCTGCAGGGCACGACTCACCTCATTCGGAAGTTCGCAGGGCCTGGAGGTGGCAGTGTTCCTGCTACTGTCTCCGCAGTTTTTTTTCTTCCTTCTCTTTCCAGGTATCTTATTATGCTCTTATTCAAACTTGTTGAGCTGCAGAAAAGCAAAGCAACACCTGTTTGAGCCTACTTGTTCCCATCCCACTGACAAAAGTTCTCTTGTACACATCTCCATGGGAGGAACCCATGGGCAGGAGGATGGTGTTTGTCCTGAGGAGGGGAGCCCTAGGGGTTACTGCACTAGATTACCCAGGAGTCCCAGGAGGGCAGCAGCTGCTGGTTGAAGACTTGGGTGGGTCTGGAAAGGGCCCAGGGGTTCATCAGCCAGTGGCCACACACTGACCACTGATGGGTGGTCATAGGGCCTGGGGCAAGCCACGGGAACCAGGTACCAGCACTTTTTTCTTACCATATCTCTAGCTTTAGTCAACTGTAACTTCATCTCTATTTGCACAGGTCTCCATCAGGAATAGGGGTTGGGGCCTCATTACTGCGGTTGTCCGTGAGAATTTCTCCTCAAGGGAGGCGGTGCTGAGAGAGGGTGTCTTTAGCCCATTGTAATTTCATCTCTTTATTCACACAGGTCTCTATTGGGAATAGGGATTGGGACCTCAACTCATTACTCCAGTTGTCCGTGAGGATTTCCCCTCAAGGGAGGCGGTGCTGAGAGAGGGTGCCACAAGGTGTTGGGGCCTTACATTTGTAGAGGGGGCTCATGGGTGTCGCCCAGGTTCTGCAACCCCATTGGCCAGTGAGAATTCCATGTCCTACAGCCCCGTAGAGAGAACAGGGACATCACACTGGAGGCTGCAGCCACTCCTGCTCATGCAGCAGTTGGGCCTGAGGGAAGCTCCCCACCCCCACCCCAGGAGCCCCAGCACTCCCCCTTCCCCAACATGGCTCTGAATGGCAAGACAAAGAGTGGGAATGGACTGTCCTCAGAGAGAAAGTGCATGATTCTATTCCCTGACCCTTCCCTCCTTGACATAGTTTGGTGCACTACTTTCTCAATCCCAGACCTCATGTCAGAGATTCCTAACCTTAACTCCTACAGTACATTTCTGCCCTCTCAATATTCTCAATATGTGTTTCTAACATTTTCATTTTTACCTCTGCTGAAGAATGAAACCTTATAAAGAACACTTACTGATAGGAGCTTTGCAGGCTTCTAAATCTGAAATATCAGCCTTGTCTCTCACTCTGTGGGAATCCAAGAGTTGTTCTAATTGCATGATGGTTTTCAAGAGCAGCAGCATGTGGACATCCAAACTGTTAGGGTCTGTGATCTCAGGAACGAGCGCAGGACAAATGGGAAAGTTCAACAGAGCTTTACTTCACTCCAATTACAGTGTCGAGATACTGATCGATCAATTGACCAGGGTCTTCTCCCCAGAGAGAGAATGAAACCCTACGTCTTTGAGCCCCTTTAATACCCTGAACCCCAACTGTCGAGAGACCTATTGCCTGTTTGGTGTGCCTCGGGGCAATTAGGGACTTTGTGGCTCTGAAGGAGTGCCTTTTCTGAGTCTGTTAATTTAGTGATTTCCTTCTTTCCCCTATTGGTCCCCCAACTGCTGAAGTTGGTAGTCATTACAGCCAGGTGGGCTTAGGTGGGACCTGCCACAAACATGGGGCCAGCATAGCTCCAAGGACGCGAGTACAAGCTTTGCCTACTGAAGGCCTGGATTTAATCCCTAGACCCCTTGGTACCCTAAGCATCCCAGGAGCAACCCCTGAGGGTTGCCTGGAGAAGCACCTGAGCACTGTTGGGTGTGAACATTAAGCAAAACACATCCCAGAAAAGAGGGCTGGTCCTAAAAGTGGCTCCTCTCCTCAGACGTGTTGTTGGGAAAAGGGGGAGGCAGGTGAAGCCTTGATTGCATGTAAACTTTGCCCTGCTTATTTCCTAGTTTGTAATTAACTGAAGTGAATGACCCTAAAATGGATGGTATTTTTTTGCAACCTATGAACCCCACAAGAGGGCTTGGCTCATTAAAACTCATGTGAAATTTCTTAATTATTAAATTCTTAAACATTGTTTTCAGCACGTGGCAGGACTATGCCTACGGATGCTGGATATTGGCTTCCCAGAGGTTCATTACACTAGTCTTAGTAAACTTTGACTTTTTATTAGTGTAACGTATTAAAGTAGTAATAACAATGTTGGTGACCGAAACAATGTAAGACAAATAATAAACAGCAAATTTGGGGGTTTTTGTCTTATTTTATATTGGAACATTAAATTTTCCCAATATTGATCTTTTAATTAGATTTTCTATGTAAACATAAGGTAATTCTTGATGTATTTGAGATCTACTGTTGTTAACTTTAAAAAATTTTTTCTGCTTTCCTTTTCTTTTTTTTTAATTAAGTTATATCGGATCACGGTGAGATACAGTTACACACTTGCATGATTACGTTTCAGTCATACTATGCTCGAGCACCCATCTATCCACCACTGTACATTTTCCACCACCATTGTTCCCAGTGTCCACTGTCCACCCCCACCCCATCCCACTCCCTGCCTCTGTGGGAGGTACAATCCTTCTCTCTCTCTCTCTCTCTCTCTCTCTCTCTCTCTCTCATTTTGGGCATTATGATTTGCACTTCAGTTACTAAGAGGACATCATGTTTGGTCCTTAGTCTACTTTCTGCACACATCTCCCACCCCGGTTATTCTTCCAATCATCATTTCCTTAGTGGTTCTGTGAAGGAAAAACTGATGCCAAAACAACCTGTAGCTAACATGAAGTCTCAACTAGGCCTCAGATTCTGTTTCCCTGGAGCAGGACTTGCAGTTGCTGATAGACTCCAGGCTAAGTAATGCACCTAGACAAGGAATTGGGGAGTTGGGTCTGGCCAGTCATGAGGGGTCACTGTATCCTCCTAAGAAACCATAACTAAGTATTGCCTAAGTGAGACCACCATTGTAATAGAGCCTATGCTATAAATTACACAGAATATATACTATTCTTAACTCTGAATCCTATATAAACTGCTTGTGATTTGGAGTCGAGGTCCTTGTCAAGACTCCACTGCATTGGATGAGACTTGGATTCTAGGAGAAATGTTAAAATACATTGTGTAAGTGTCTGAGCTATGCCTGGAATAACTGCCATGAGCCCACTGTTAGGGCTCACACCACGATTTATTGAAAATCTGTATGCTTTGTTAATTCCCCATTTTGCCCACTTCCTTGTGTAATCGATGATAAAAGGCTAGCTTGGGAGAAATAAATTTGGAGTTAATCAGAGTCTTGACTTGCTCCCATTCTTCTGTCTCTTTTTTCCAACTCACGCACCCTCCCCCGGTTATTCACGTTGACTAGTTCTGCGGGTCGAGGCACTCATAACTTGTAATTTGTTTTTTTGTGTGTACATACACTTGCAGTTGGTTACTCGGGGTTCCACACAAATACTCAGATAACCCATAGCCAGAGGCAGAAAGAACCATTTTGTCTGGTATCTTCTTCAAAGCCAGGAAATCATTCCTTAAAACTATAGACTCCAACAGGAGAGCGCCCCTCATTTCTCAATGGTGCATGCAGGTTACCTGCTCAACCCTCCTCTAATGACTGATCAAAGGAACAGGAGACCACAACCGGCTTAGATTAATCAGGATTCACCTCTAGCAAGAAATAGAGATGCCTTCCCTAAAGAACAGGCTCCATCAAAATTAACGATCTGCTAATAAGGGGGAAAAGGGGAAACAGCTCTAGCAAAACCATCAAACTCTCTGTCACATTGATTCAGGCCTAATAATTGCCTTTTCTGGTGGAGAACACCCATTTGCGCTTGGGGCAGGGGGCGGGGCTATCCCTGTCTGGGGATCATGCAGTGCTGGGATGGGACAGGAGCTCTTGGAGTCACTTCCCCAGTCCTAACTGTTTTGCGGTAGTGGGTGAGAGTGGGGGTAGAGCTCCCAACTGAAGCTCAGAAAGCCTGGGGGGCCCCACTCATGGTTCTCTGACAACCAGTCCTTCAATGTGAGGTCCTGAGGATAGGATGCTGTTCAGGGCCTGTGAAGTTGGGGTTACCTAAGCCACCCCCGTGCTGTTCAGGAATCAAGCCTGGATAGAACCACTGTACTACCCCGGGCCTCTCTAATAAGTGTTTTCTG